TTTTTGTACAGCTAAATGTGTGAAACACTACAGTGGATAATTCATCTAAGATTTCCATTGTATTCTACAACCATTTTGGTATTGATAACCTCACTTTGCGGATAGATATTGTAGGAACCAGCAGAAAAATAGTGAGTGGAAAACTTTGACATCCATGTACACCATGTATTTATATGGGTTTGGTTGAAACATTTTCTTTTCAAACTAAGATTTTAGAAACATTATGATATTTGAACTTACTCTACCTCATTTGATGTCAGTGTGAATGTTCCATTATGAAACAAGGAATAAAGAAAATTAGAGACTTTTCCCCATTCAGGTTCTGTTTCCTCACACTGGGAACTAATTCATCACAGGATTATGGATCCTTTTCAGCTGCACCCCTTTCTGAAGGGCCTCCAGTTTAACAGTCCTGTTGGAGAACAAGTAAATTTAGACAAGAAAAGTAACACGGATGCCAAGTACGATATTCTCAACTTTTGGAACTTTCCTGAAGGCCTGAGACTGAGGGTGAAAGTTGGAGAGTTTTCCCCACACGCTCCCCCTGGGCAGCAGTTGTCTCTGTCAGAGGAGATGGTAGAGTGGGCCACGGGAAGTACTGAGGTATGTTGCCATCAAACATAATTTGCTTCGTTAACATAAATAAGCAAGCTCTTGTTGTGTCTTTTCTGCCCCATCCTTGACCAGGGATGGTCACACATGGAAATGTAACAATTCCCCTTTAAAACTGAATGAATTTCCTATTTGTTCTCTTTCTGATGGATGAAAAAGAAGAACACTTTTAAACCAGATTTTTGACAGTACTCATATTTTTAATCATGAAATAAATACAGCAGTCAAGCAAATATTTGGAGTTCTGCATTAATACAAGTGGTTTGTCACTCTGCTTGGGGAAGATTAAGTGAAAGGTAAAGTTTCCAACACAAATCCGATTGTCCTCAGACTCCCCGCTCGGTGTGCAGTGAGAGCTGCAGCCCTGGATTTAGGAAGAGCCCTCGGGAGGGAAAGGCTGCCTGCTGTTTTGACTGCACCCCTTGCTCAGAGAATGAGATCGCCAATGGCACAGGTAGGAGTAAACCTCTGCATCAGTGGTCCAGCTTCTTTGGT